AAGACCACATTCACACACTTTAGAATGAAAAAATATATATACATGTATTGTCAAATGACCGGATATATTGTAGCGTCTTGTCGAACGTAATTTCAACGAAGAAATAAATTGAATAAACATATATATTTTTTCTTTTCTCAATAATTTTGTAGTTTTTAAACTTAATAGCGATTAAATTTGGATTTTAAAATTGCCAGTTTTTAATTTTAATATTAAATTTTATCATATAATTTTATAATTATTGGTTAGTATGAATTCTTTTTAATATTACACGTATTTTAAAGATCTGAATAGCTAGTATAACATGATTTCGTTGTCAAGCTTTTGAATCTTTCTATACTTGGATTTTGATTGGTTATTCTAGCTTTTGTAACAATGTTTCCCCCTAGTGAAGGATCGTTAATTAATTTGAAACTTTTAAAACCATTTATTTTATCTTCAACATCATCACTTGATAAGACACCGAGGGTGTTGAAACAAAATGGCTATTTTTGTAGTGATTTTATAACATAATTATGTTATAATTTTTTATAAATATATATATATATGCAGCGTGTAACAGCAAAATTGTTCAAGTCGTGTAAAAGCAGAATTGTCGAATTGTTAGATTACGCTCTGAACCGTTGTACCTAAGAAATGATTAAAGCTATCTTACTGGAATTCTCTGATATTTTTATAACACTATTAGCACTTTGAGCAATAAGAATGTACAGAAAAACCTCTCATCAACGGACTAATAGGGGGTGATGGATGGTCCGTTATGTCCGATAATCCGTAGATGGGAAGAGATGATTTTTAGTTATACAACCACTATAGTAACTACCAATAGTTATGATCATAATGTAAATACTATAAACATGTATATATCGCATAAATAAATATATACTTAATATATATATATATATATATATATATATATATATATATATATATATATATAAAAAAAAACAACAAAAATAATAGATTTCTCACGGCTACTTTCTTACGCATGTGCTACTGTATCGTACTTTATATACTGTACACCTGTCTTTGTTTACAATTGAAAGGCCAGCCATCGCCGCCAAGTGGTCACTTTGAGAACTAAGACGACTCGTTCCGTTAAACCCTCAAAATTTGAAATACATTTTTCTTGCATTACTTTTTTTTTATTTTGCCTTCAGATTTTGTCCGTAGCATCCGAATTTCGTTGATGGGGGGGGCCGTAAATGAGGGGTTTGTTTGTATAATTCCTGTCCAAGCTTAACAGAAGAATCGATCACAAACGAAAATGACATGTTTATCATTAATTAATCATAGCTAAGGGTGGAAAGCTCATGAAGGATTAAAATAAAGTTCAAATATATTATTCCAGGATCATTTTCTACTTTATATATATATATATATATATATATATATATATATATATATATATATGTATATATATATATTATTCGAGGATATATATATATATATATATATATATATATATATATATATATATATATATATATATTATTATTATTATTATTATTCCAGGATCATATATATATATATATATATATATATATATATATATATATATTATTCCAGGATCATTTTCCATCTTATTCAAAATGATTTTTTCGTCCTCTCTAATCTTCTAACATTCTGTTCTGGAGTAACAAGGTGCCTCGTAGTTTTCACGTACGATTTAATTTTCAAATCTTTTTTTTACTGCTCGTTGGACTGTCATAGCTGAAACTCCTCTCTCACATGCCTAACGACTTACGAATTTGGTTGGATCTTTTCTAATTGATCTCTTTAGCTCTATGTTGAAATGACCCCTCTTCCCGTTGTGATCTGATTCAGTTTTCCACTTTACTGTTCATACTTTTTGAAATTTATGCCAGTTGATGATAATACGAAGGCAAAAGGGTCTCATGCGTGATGGAGCTGCAGCACATTTTAGTCACATTTTTCGCGAAGCACTGGTTAGCATCTACCATGAAAGATGTATAGGTAGGGGAAGATCAGTTTCATGGCCTGCACGTTTTCCCGAAATCAATCCTTTGGATTTTTCGTCTGTGGGGTCAACTAAACCAGAGAGGCTTCATCGACCTCTCATGCCGGCCTGCAAAACCCTTCGACACAGCGGGTTAGTATTTGAAAGGGCCCGTCAATCAAGGATCTGACGGTTTCATGCCTGTGTAGAAGCAAGCAGGGGACATTTTGAACATTTGTTTTGAGTTGCTAAGTTGAGGTACAATGATGATCTTTTAGACATACGGACATTTGACCTTATTTTGGTGTCAAGAACCTGCACTCAGAATTTGTAAAAGAATTTTTGATACACAATCTATACCGGATGTAACAGCAAAATTGTTTAATTGTTAAACTAAGCTTTGAACCATTGTGTCTTAGAAATGATTAAAGATATCTTACTGGAATTCTCTGATGTGTTTATAACGCTATTAGACATCTACTTTGAGTAATAATGATGTATAATTACTCACCAACCGATCATAAACGAAAATGACATGTTCATCATTAATTTATCATAACTAAGGATTGGAAGCTCATGAAGGATTGAAATTAAGTTCATATATATATATATATATATATATATATATATATATATATATATATATATATTCCAGGTTCATTTTTCAGGTTATTCAAGATGATGATCGCCCTCTCTAACCTTCGAACTTTTCTGTCCTGAAGTAACAAAATGTCTTTTTTCACAGTTCTTGGACTATCAAACTCCTCTCTCATTTGCCAAACGTCTTATGGATTGAGTTGAACTTTGTTATTGATCTCTTTAGCTCTAAATTGAAATGATGATCCTTCTTCCTCTTGTGACCTGAAACAGTTTTCCACTCTACTGTTCACAATTTTAAAAATTTATTCATCGTTCTTTTGATGGTTCTTGAATGGACTTTGAAGATGGAAGCCAGAGTATGAATATTGGTACCATTACTGAAGGCCTAAATGATCTTTTTCCTCTCACCATTGCTCAGTTGGAAAGACAGTGGGTCTGATACAAAACGATTTCACCTGTTTTCTTTCTAGCTGAATAACTCAAAGTGTTTTTTAGTGATTCTTGCGACAAATTGTGTCAATAGGGATAAACGTCTATTTTGGAATAATGAAACACAATTTAGTGTTTTTTTAGTTATTAGACATTTTGTGGAATGCACAATTATGCTGTTACACGATTTAGACAATTTTGCTGTTACACCCGGTATATATATATATATGTATATATATACATATAAATATAAATATAGATAACTAGACTCGTTTCGAGAAACCCTCGAATTTTTGATTTGTCAATCAAATCAATTTCGAGGGAAAAAAAAGGTTTTAAAAAAAGAAAGAGCTACAAACATAAACTTCTGCCGACAAAAAAATCGCACAGATGCAGGTCTGAAGCCCAAAGAAAAAACCCCGATACGAGTAACAACTAACTAACAAAAGAGCTCAATACAACCGTAGAGCAGACCTAGATACACCCAGTGAGCCAGACAAACCTACCTAGGTTTCACCTAAACGGATCGTCAGGGAAAGTTTATATATTAATATTATGAAATAAAGTCCGACAAATATTTTAAGACATTTTTATGTTTATACATTCTTTTTATGGATACGAATATTTAAGTAAATGCTCTGTTTATAATAAACAGTGTTAACAACATTTACCGGCCTGAATGTCCAATAAATTTTCATAGAAAATATTCGTCCTCCGACAGGAATCGAACCAGTATCCTATACGGAACCGTCATTTAGCTTGACGTGCCTTTACCGATTTAGCCACAGAGGAGCGTTCGGTTAGCAAGGTCGAATTTACTGTCTTTAAACTACAATCTTGCATGATTCTCTCACGTACATTCATATCGGCTCATGGCGTATCCAAATTTTTATTTTATATATATGTGTATATGTGTGTGTGTAAAAAATTATACAGTATGTTACTAATGAAATTCCAAACGTTTACATCCAGTTTGAATGTGCCCGCCAGCTAGTTTTTAAGTGTCTGGTTAAATATGTGTGTGTGCTTGAATATGTGTGCGTTTAAATGTTCGTGTGTGTTTGAATGTATGTGTGTTTATACGTGTGTATTGTGTGAATGCTTGTGTGTATGTTTGTGCGTTTAAACGTGTGGGTATGTGTAAAATGTGTTTGCGAATATGTGTGTGTGCATGCATGCACCTGTGTCATTGTGTGTGTATATGTTTGATTGTTCGCGACTGTTTGAATGAGTGCAATGTGTGTTTGTGTTTCTGTTTGACTGCGTATGTGTGCTTGAATATATCTGTGTGTTTCCGTGTACATGTTTGAATGCGTCTTTGTGAATGTGTGTACTTGTAGGTATGTGCGTGTGAACATGTCTTTATCTGAATGTGTGTGAATTTTGGTCTCTTTCATTCTTTTTGTGTGCCGTGTCCTTTCAGGACGTAGGCGATCATGGCTCTCCACCTCCTCCTATCTCCTATTGCAGCTCTCAAAAAGTTCCCTCCTTCTGCCTCCTCCCCCAGACCACATTCTGTCATCCACTTGCTTAAGGTATGTCATGCGTTGCTTTCCTTTGTCTCTCTTTCTTTCTATTCGACCTGTGAGTATCAGATTCTCCAGGCCTTCTTTCATTATGTGACCCAGAGGCTTCAGCTGCCTCTTCCTGATATTAAGTTTAAACCTCCTTCTTGTTTACGTCCCCTCCAAGACCTCACCGTTGCTCGGTGCATGATATCCTTAGCATCCTTCTGTAGAATCACATCTCCGTCGCCTCGAGTCTCTTCTTTGTCCGTTTAACATTTGGTGTCGTAAAGGAGGACAGATATCGGGTAACATGAGTTTTTTTTAAACGAAGGTTTGAATATGTTTGTCATGGAAAATGAGGGTGTGTTTGAATCTGTATGTGTGTTTGAATGAGTGTGTGCGTTTTTTTTTTATTTGTGTGTATATGAGTGTGCGTGTGTTCACTTAAATCTATATCGAGGCCGTGTCTCCCTGACAAGAATATCTATAACTGGACTTAATACCACTTGACTGGTCACATGATCCCACCCTTCGAACTTGACAGTGTCTGTTGGGCTGAGATGAAGAACACTGAAGCAATACGGAAAACAATAAGAATCTCGAAATGACGGACGTCAAGACAAAACGGTTGCATTAGTGTATTTGGTTATACGACAAGCGAGAATGTGTTTTTCAGCCTCTCAACGACCCCCAGTATTATTACACGACTTCAACGCTTTCTTTCGATTGTTTTTTTCTCGGTGTGGATGACAGGGTAACAAGTGTTACTAGGGTCTTCTAACCGACCCGAAAGACATGGATAAGAAGAGGAAAAGGCTATAAGCGTCAAAGAAAAGAGATGAAAAAGAAGAAGAATGAAACAGAAGTATGGAGAAAAGAAGAAAGAAGATGACAGAAAATGAAAAAAAAGGCGGAGAATGGTAAAGCCGACGAAGCATGAAAGTGGTGAAGAAGAAGAAGAAGAAGAAGAAGAAGAAGAAGAAGAAGAAGAAGAAGAAGAAGAATGCTGATGAAGAAGAAAGGAGAAAAACAGAAAATGAAGGAGACAGATGGTGAAAAGAAGGGGGAAGAAAACAAAAAATTAAAAAGAAAGAGAAAGGTGAATAATAATAAGAAGAAGAAGAAAAAGAAGAACAAGAACAAGAAGAATAAGAATGGTGAAAAGAAGATAGATGACAGAAAATGAAAAACGAGGAAAATGGTGAATAAGTAGAATTAAAAGAAAGAGAACAGTGAAGAAGAAGAAGAAGAAGAAGAAGAAGAAGGCTGAAAATGATTAATAATAATAAAAATGGTTAATAATAACAATAATAATAATAATAATACGAAGAAGAAGAAGAGAGAAGAAAACCGAAAATTAAAAAGAAAGAGAATGGTAAGGAAGAAGAAGTCTGAAAAAAAGGAGAAAAATACAGAAAATGAAAAAGAAGAAGAAGCATGAAACTGGTGAAGAAGAAGAAGAAGAAGAAGAAGAAGAAGAAGAAGAAGAAGAAGAAGAAGAAGAAGAAGGAGACATGGTGAAGAAATAGAAGGAGGAGAATGGTGAAAAAGAAGCATGAAACTAGAGAAGAAGAAGACGAAGAAGAAGAAGACAATGAGGCTGAAGATTCGATAATAAGATAAAGAAGAAAAGTAGAAAAATAGAAGCCACAGGTAAGAAAATGATTTTACAAGTACGCGGAATGTATACTTAGACTACTTTCTTGTTGTGAGAATGTAAAAACGATAGATTATTAGATGGTAAGTTCAGAAAACATGGAAGGGAAAGATTAAAGTATTAAAAAAAGAAGAAGAAGAAGAAGAAGAAGAAGAAGAAGAAGAAGAAGAATAGTTATGAAGAAGAAAAGACAGAAACAGAAAATAAAGAAGTAGAATGATGTAAAGAAGGGAGAAGAATAGAGAAAATAAAAAAGGAGAATAGTGGAGAAGAAGAAGAATAGTTATGAAGAAGAAAAGACAGAAACAGAAAATAAAGAAGTAGAATGATGTAAAGAAGGGAGAAGAATAGAGAAAATAAAAAAGGAGAATAGTGAAGAAGAAGAAGAAGAAGAAGAAGAAGAAGAAGAAGAAGAAGAAGAAGAAGAAGAAGAAGATAAATGGCGAAGAAAAAAGAGAAATAATAAGAAAAAAAATGGCGAAAAGAAGGGAGAAGAATAGAGAAAACAAAGAATGAAGCAGAAAAAGCGGAAGAAGATCTTTTTGGTTGCCATGTTGACTTCTCTCGTCGCTATCGTATCCTCTTGACTGTAATCTCAAAGTAAAATGACGTGAGAAGGTTTCATGTTGACAAGAATGCGATTGCCAATTTTTGTGACCCGGGGGTGGGGAGAGTCCGCCTCATACATATGCGAATTAAAAGCGGGAAAAGAACAGGGAGAAAATATAAAAAGAAAATGTAAATAATATTTCCATATATGGAGAAAATAGTCGAGTGAGAGATATTATTGAGGGATCCGAGTAGAACCGATTTTAAAGTGAAATTATTTTCATTCAATTTCGTTTATCTATTCTAAATCACATGTGAATGAAAACACTTGACGTCTTTCCTCCCTTCTTTTCACCATTCTTTTACTTCGTCTAATTTTTCTTCCGCTTCGTTTTCTTTTTCTTCTTCTTCACCTTAATCTTCTTCTTTTTCGTTTTTGCCTTCTTCTTCGTCTTAATCTTCTTTTTCTTTTTTGTCTCTATATTCGTCTTCTTTTTCTTCTTCGTCTTAATCTTCTTTTTCTTTTTTTGTCTTCTTCTTCGTCTTCTTTTTCTTCTTCTTCGTCTTAATCTTTTTCTTTTTCTTTTTTGTCTTCTTCTACGGCTTCTTTTTCTTCTTCTTCGTCTTAATCTTCTTTTTCTTTTTTGCCTTCTTCTTCGTCTTAATCTTCTTTTTCTTTTTTGTCTCTATATTCGTCTTCTTTTTCTTCTTCGTCTTAATCTTCTTTTTTTTTTTTTTTCTTCTTCTTCGTCTTCTTTTTCTTCTTCTTCGTCTTAATCTTTTTTTTTTTTCTTCTTCACGGCTTCTTTTTTTCTTCTTCTTCGTCTTAATCTTCTTTTCTTTTTTTTGTCTTCTTCTACGGCTTCTTTTTCTTCTTCTTCGTCTTAATCTTCTTTTTCTTTTTTGCCTTCTTCGTCTTAATCTTCTTTTTCTTTTTTGTCTCTATATTCGTCTTCTTTTTCTTCTTCGTCTTAATCTTCTTTTTCTTTTTTGTCTTCTCCTTCGTCTTCTTTTTCTTCTTCTTCACCTTAATCTTCTTCTTTTTCTTTTTTGCCTTCTTCTTCGTCTTAATCTTCTTTTTCTTTTTTGTCTTCTTCTTCGTCTTCTTTTTCTTCTTCTTCGTCTTAATCTTCTTTTTCTTTTTTGTCTTCTTCTTCGTCTTAATCTTCTTTTTCTTTTTTGTCTCTATATTCGTCTTCTTTTCCTTCTTCGTCTTAATCTTCTTTTTCTTTTTTGGCTTCTTCCTCTTAATCTTCTTTTTCTTTTTTGTCTTTATATTCGTCTTCTTTTTCTTCTTCTTCGTCTTAATCTTCTTTTTCTTTTTTGCCTTCTTCTTCGTCTCCTTTTTCTTCTTTGTCTTAATTTTCTTTTTCTATTTTGCCTTCTTCTTCGTCTTCTTTTTCTTCTTCGTCTTAATTTTCTTTTTCTTTTTTGCCTTCTTCTTCGTCTTCTTTTTCTTCTTCTTCATCTTAATCTTCTTTTTTTTCTTCGTCTTCTTTTTCTTCGTCTATTTTTCTTCTTCTTGGTCTTCTTTTTCTTCTTCATCTTTTCTTCTTTTTTGCCTTCTTTTTCTTCTTCTTCGTCTTCTTTTTCTTCTTCTTGGTCTTAATTTTCTTTTTTGTTTTCTTCTACGTGTTCTTCAAGGTTGAAGGGGGGAGAATAATTCATCACCCACAAAATCTTGACGAAATATGACAATATTTCTCCATTTTTAATTTTCTTCGTATTCATTTCTACTCGTTCTTCAATAATGTCTTCTTCGTCTTAATCTTTCTTCTTCTTTTTCTTCTTCTTCTACTTCTTCTTCCTTTTCGTCTTCTTTTTCTTCTTTTTTCATCTTTTCTTCTTCGTCTTAATGTCCTTCTTCTTCTTCTTCTTCTTTTTCCTCATCTTCGTCTTCGTCTTCTTTTTTTTCTAGTTTTTCGTCTTTTTCATCGTCTTAATCTTCTTTCTTCTTCTTCGTTTTCTTTTACATCATCTTTTTGTTCTTTTTTCTTCTTTTTCTTCTTCATCTTAATGTTCTCATTCTTCTTCTTTTTCTTCATCTTCGTCTTTCCCTTTCTCCTTCTTTTTCTTCTTTTTCTTCATCTTCGTCTTCATCTTTTGCTTCTTTTTCTTGTTCCCATTCATCTTTTTCTTAATCATCTTTGTCTTCTTCTTCTTCTTCTTCTTCTTCTTCTTCTTCTTTCTTCTTCTTCTTCACTATAGTCTTTCAAATTCTATTCAACGTGTTTTTCATGTGTAAAAATGTGCACACTACATCCTAGTCTTGAAATCCAGTTACATTCGACTCAGTGATGTCGGCCCATCTTTTCACCTTTCAGCCTCTTTTTGGAACCACATAAGATGGCAGTTGAAAGAGTGTTGGCTCTTATAACGTGGCCATAGCATTTCAACTTTCTCTTCTTGACGATAGATATTAGATCTTCCAACGGGACAATTTCCTGTTTGATATGGTCTCTGCAAGAAATGTCTAGGTTGGATCGATAACATTTCGAATGTTTCTATTCTTCGACGTAATTCTGCTGTTAATGTCCAAGACTTGTAGACGTAGAAGAAGGCCGATGCACGCAACAGCCTGATCTTTGATCTCACTCTGGTGTCTTTGTCGTTCTACATAGGAAATGCCTAGTACGCAACTCTTAGATTACGCTTCTGATGCTTGGGCTATTTGCTTTGTCAGCTGTTAATATCCAAGATTCACAGTCGTTCAGAAAGACTGAGAAGGCCAATGCACACAATTGCCGGATCTTTGATTTCAGGCAGATGGTCTTGCCTTTTAAAATGGTCCTTAGTTTTGCAACAGCTGCATTTGTTAATGCTGTTCTTGAAATTCTGTTTATAGCTAGAAACATAAAACCCTGAATTCAAGCACGTGTATTTCCAAAAGTGTTGAAACTTGACTAATGCATGGAATAATAATACAACACAAAATGTACTTAGAACAAAATGTATTGAAACAAGAAAGTGTACACAATATTTACATGTAGTCTTTTGTATATTCTTGGGAAGACCGTTCCTGGAGAATGTGTTGACTTAGTCGCAGTCGGGCAGAGTCTCTGGATTGAATCTCTTGATTCCTTCTTCTTCTCTTCCCGGTACCAACCATATTTATATGGTCGGTACTCCACTATGCAAATTAGGTAGATCCTACCACAACAAAAAGAAATCTTAGCTTTAAGCGGTGTGAAGCAGAAGTTAGAAAGCTTGTCTCTGTAGTACTGAGTTCGATCCTGACAGATGTCCCACACTCGAGATATTGTTTCTCTTTGAGCTAATCTTTAATAAATTCTCATCTATAAAACTGTAAACACACAACGCGACTCTCACCCATGCTGACCACCGATCGGCCAATGATTACCCAATGTTGTATTTTCACCCCTGTATATCGTCGGTGTTCAGCGAAAACTGGGAAAGGGCCTGTTGCACGATCACACGTTAATCCGATGAAAGAAAAACGCCACATCAAGAAATAAGAACGCGAACCTTGATTATTATGTTTATCATTCTTCTTACTATAAACATTATTTTTCATTGTACATTTGTTTGGCTTGCCGTCCGTGTCTTTTCGCGTTCTTAAACTGTGAAATTAATGTCAACCGGCCTAGATCGAGAAGTCCTACTTAAAAAAGAGGGTGTATTCATTCTCGTCTGTTAAAGCCTTAGCTGGAGGTGGAGTGAGCAAACGACCCTCCACTGGTTTTGAATTCAAAGTGTCCTTCTTCTGATCCGCTTGTTACCCTCGGGATAAATGACACAGTCTGTTTTTTTTCTATTTTAGCCATAGCTGGAAATGGAGTAAAGCAATCGCCCCTCCTCAGTTTTTAAAATCAGAGCTGTCCTTCGTCTGAACTAGTTGCCATCCAAGACTATATGACCTTGTCTCTCTCGCTAGTCCACCTATAGCTGAGTGGTAGAGAACACTCCTATTTAAACATTATATGGAAAACAGAAAACTAAAATCTCTCATGATGAAATATCTTTTTGAAGAGCTTATAGCAATTCTCAAAAAAATGCCTCGTTTTGTTATTTTAATTTAGCAGCATATAAACCTCTCTATACCGAAATCTGAATATTTTGAAAGCAATTTTATGGCTTCAACTACAGATATTTGCGGGATAATTTTATAATTTCAGGTAAAGGTATGTTGGCGTATTTTCAAATAGTTTTCTTGTCTTCCTTGTAGTATTTGCGTCTTTCACGGGGCCTCATTACGAGGAGTGGGGGACTTACTCCTCTGCAGAGGTGCAGGCGGCGTATTCTAAAACCCCAGCCGAGAGAGCTGTCTCAGATAATAAAGAAAAGAAATATGTAAAGAAATTTAAACTCTTGCGGACACGTCTTTCAAGAACGGGCTATATAGCAGTTTATATTTTTTTTTTTAAGTTTTATATAGTTAGTTTCTGTAGCCTTGTATGGCAGCCAGTCTAAAGGAAGGCGAATTCTGAATTCCAAACCGTGAAAAGATAGAAACGGGTGACCGCTGAATTATCTTTACCAAAAATACATGGTAATTCAGAGTAAAAAGAAAGAACTATTTTAAAAAAAAGAAGCAAGTTATTAGTACATGATAAACCTGTACAAGGCAGAGATATATTTGTCACAATAATAAGAGTCAAAACTAGTCAGAAAATAATTTTAAAAATTAGAAATGGTAAAATTAGTAAATATTAACGAATTTTCCTTTAATGTTTTTGTTTTTTTTTATCAAGAAACGGAAAGGAAAAGATCTGTTATATTTGTTTTAGAGAACGAAGTAAGTTTTTCTTCTTTTTTTTCGTTAAATATCTTTCAAAATGATACGTTCGTGTTTACTTGTTGCGAAAAGACAAAAAAAAACCACTGCTTTCTAAGGAAAGAAAAATAAAATAAACAAAAACCGTCGCAAGAGAAGTATAGACCGGCTTATTAAAGAATATATTACAAATGAAATTTAAATGAATGAGCGAAGGTAGTAAAGAAAGAAACTAGGGCGATGGGGAAATGGTGACACAGCGAGAAGAGTGAACTGAGCGACTGTTACTGGAATATGACTGGCGTAGAATAAGCAGATTGAAAATGCTGAACTTGTGTCTCTATGGCGACGTCCGTGGGCAGAGAAGTTTCAAACAAATCGTGGGCAGAAGTCGACTGTC